TGTTCGTAAGTTGAGACGCAAGAGTCCAGTTATAGATAAATTAGTTTACACTGGACGTAGTGATGTTTCTTCAGCTGATATATGTAAACTGTTGGGTTACTATTATTCAGACTTGGCAAAACCTCACCAGTCTGATGATTTTGACGAAAACTTTAAACTCACCATTGAATCAAAATGTCATTATATTATGGAACAAAATCGTCATAAATCATGATCCACTAGACGATATCCTGTATACAGAAATCCAAGTCCCAGATCACATATACACAACCTTAAAAGAAACAAATTTCCAGGACCTGATGGTATCACAAATGAACACATGATATTTGGAGGAGAGATGCTTGTAGTAACCCTCAAACACATATTTAATCAAATACTTGCATCCCAGTATTATCCATGTGCCTTCAGAAAAGGTATGATAATAACCTATTTATAAATGCAAAAACGACAAACATGATCCACGTAACTACAGGTGCATAACTCTTACATCGTGTCTATCTAAACTCCTAGAGAAAATAATTTTAAGTAGAACAGAAAAATATACACCCAGTAATCTCCAATCATTCCCCGATGCTTTACAATTTGGTTTCAGAAAGGAACATGGAGCAATCATGTATGTATTCACCGTTTTAGAATGTGTTAATTTTTACCTAGAAAGAGAATCACAAGTGTTTGCTGCATTTTTAGATAATGAAAAAACTTTCGATCGTATTTGGCACGACGGTCTATTTGATAAATTACATGACCTTGGTGTGTAGGGTAAATTAGGGAACCTACTTTTCCATAGCTATACAGACAGCTGTGCTTTTATATCCTAAACCGGAAAAGGATCTGATGAGTTTCCCGTTAAACAAGGTGTTGGGCAAGGTCGAGTTATGTCAGCATGGTTCTTTCTCGTTTTCATAAATGACCTTATATGTGAACTAAGGAAAGCAAACGATGGCCTCTCCGTTTATGGCATCTATATACCCTGTTTGTTATTGGCCGATGACACAACGCTCTTGTCTACAACCCCAAGGGGCTTGCAGTCTTCTCTTGACTCAGTTCGTTTATATTCCAACAAATGGAGACTCACCTATAATGCCTCCAAGAGTAAATCACTTGTATTCTGCAAAACACGCCAGCGTCATAATAAAGTAACCTACAAGTTTGGCGATGCAACAATTGACACCTCCGACTCCGTCAAATATGGCGGAATAATCATAAACAGTAATTTATCCTGTACAGAAAGAATCATGACATGTGAAAATGTGTTAATTCACTACGATCACTCGGCCTCAAAGATTCCGACCTCCACCCAGTTGAATGTTTCAATATGTGGAAAAGAATGATTTTATCTACAAGCTTTTATGGATGTGAATTGTTACCAGCCTTATACGGTAAAGAACTTGAAATGATTGAATGTACACAACGTTACTTGGCTGGTCATATACAAGGAGTTTGTAAAATAAATCCAACCGATTTGTCTATTTCTAACTTAGGAATGTGGTAAATGAATGGCTACATTGATAAATGTAGACCACAATTTTTAGGAAGGCTCTGCAATAACGATTGTAACTCGGTAACAAAAGATCTATTTTGTGCTCACATTGCTACCAACGCTATTGTCAATATTAGCCGCCCAGTAAGCATATGCAACATCCTTCTATATACTGCTAAAAAAATACCATTTAGATAACTATATAAAGGAATATACTGATAGCAGTCCATTCCCAACTAAATCGGCTTGGCGAGCTCTTTTATCAGACGTCTATCAGAGAATGTACAGTACATCTGGAGAGAGAGACTAGCACAGAGACCAGATCTTTCACGATACCATAAAACTAATAAACGGTTACAAATGCATGATTTTGATAATGTAATGTATCTCAATCCACATTTAAGACAACCCCTGCAACTTTGTATTAATGTCGGATCAAGAGAAAAATTGTCGAAAGAATGTAACCATTGTAATAACCATTGCTATGACTATGGTTGCCATATTATTTTGCACTGTGAAATGTTTATTCCTGACAGAAATAATTTCTTCTCATGCCTGATTGGTGAACTTGATGTAGATGTATATGTGAAAATAGATATGCTTGACGATGATGATATGCTTTCATTCTTTCTCGGTGCAGATGTCCATGACTTGACTAAAAAACTTGATAACGATACTTGGCAAAGCATCATAATGTCTTTCTGCCACTTCATATGGAATTTAAAGCAACACCTTATGTATACCATGTATATCTACTAGATACCTTACTGCTCTCAAAATGTAAATTGTAAATTATTTCTTCATAGCAGTGTATAAAATGATTTCATTGTATATAGTCAAGTAATTTCATTGATGTATTGTAAATAACGTATTTGCCCATGTGAAATCTTCGGATTCAAATCTGGAGGAAATAAAGATTCATTCATTCATTCATTCATTCAATCATTCATTCATTCATTCATTCATTCATTCATTCATCCAAGTAAGTAAGTAAGTAAGTAAGTAAGTAAGTACACCTTAACGTTAGGAACTATTGTACTTCTGACTGAAGGACATATGAATAAACACAGCTTAACGTTATAACCTTCAGTACCAATCACACTAGCTTGATAGGACAAATAAGTAAGCACACCTCAACGTTAGGGACTACTGTACTAATGACAATAGTTTGATAAACTCACTTTAAATGATAATATTAATTTGGAGCATGGGGTTTTAAAATGTTAAATAGTAAGGTAAATAATGTTAAATAATTTCGAAATCCATGGAAGAATGCAAGTTCAGTATTCAAAAACATGTAACCAAGTGAACAAGAAAGTGCATGCCTATTCCCAGGATAAACATTTTGAAGTTTATGGCAGAGCGTAAAGCGGCTGTGGAATCTCATTCGAATCCTTGACAATGAAACGATACCTCAGCAGAAGGTCGTGAAATGTGAACCCCTTACGTACTTTGACCGCCTAATCTAAATGATTTGTGATGGTTCTCCCTTTTGGGTGTAGATGCCACGGTGCTCAGAAAAGACAGGTTGTATGAAAGCCGGTGTATCCCGCTCGCAGCGGCACAAACCGGACGGTACAATGTGTCCAGCGGTGAGGCTGTCAAGTTTCCGATGACTATTATCAGTGGTTGGTTTGTTTATTGATTTCTTGTTTAACGCCGCACTCAGCAATATTCCAGCTATATGGCGGCGGTCTGTAAATAATTGAGTCTGGACCAGACAATCCAATGATTAATATCATGAGCCTCGATCCAAGCAGTTGTGATCGATGACATGCATCAACCAAGTCAGCGAGCCTGACCACCCGATATTGTTAGTCGCCTCTTACGACAAGCATACTTGCCTTTTACGGCAAGCATGGGTTGCTGAGACCTATTCTGCCCCGGATCGTCAGGGGTCTCGAACATCAGTGACGGGGCAGGCTTCAGTCCGATATTTTCACTTCACCAGAATCGGGCCTGTGCATGTTCTCGTTTGAAGACAGATTTAAGGCAAACACCTCCGGGTTATTTTTTTGACTGCATAAAGAACGGAGATAATAGTGTTGGATATTTGTATGGAAGACACAAAGTACATGACATGAGTTAGTGAGAGAGTTGGGTTTAACACCGCTTTGATCAGTATTCCAAGTATATATGTGTCATCTTGATGCGAGAGGAAAGCGCGGAGTAATGCTGAGTAAGTGAGAGAGTTGGGTTTTACACCGCTTTTCAACAGTATTCCAGGTATAAATGTGTCATCTTGATGCGAGATGAAAGCGCGGAGTGATGCTGAGTGAGTAAGTGAGATAGTTGGGTTTTACACCGCTTTCAACAGTATTCCAGGTATAAATGTGTCATCTTGATGCGAGAGGAAAGCGCGGAGTGATGCTGAGTGAGTGAGTGAGAGAGTTGGGTTTTACACCGCTTTGAACAGTATTCCAGGTATATATATGTGTCTTTTGATGCGAGAGGAAAGCGCGGAATGATGCTGGTGTCAAACGTGTATCCATTTAGTGACATCCGTGAGCATAGGTTTGATGCTGACAAACCTAGAAACATAATCGGGGGGAAAGAGGGTTCGTACTCACGATCATAGGTTATTGGTGTGACCAAGAGGCACAACTAGTGCACAGCGATATTTCAACGCTTTAGACGACTAGGTCCGCTGATGGCATGACTTTTACATATATAGTCATGAAAACGATGTGAATAGATCACTGACAATCAGTGATGACACCAGGTGTTCTCGAAAAGGGTAAACGTGTCCTGCTTCCCAAGTACCCCATGTTTGCAATATGATGCTATTAGACATGTACACCGATGGTAAGGTTATACCTTACACAATCTACTAGTATCAACATTGTCTATTGTTATAGCATATTGCTCGTTACTCGTTACTCTAGAAGAAAGGTTCAAGATTAACAAATAAGATCGATGACTACTTCGCAACTGTATTTGGATAAGGAGCCTACATTATTATCTGTAATATTGTTGAATGAATTAGTGAGTTTAATTCGACGCCGTTTTTTACAGTATATCAGTTATGTCATATCGTATCGCCTTGATTTGAGAGGAAAGCCTGATGCGATTAATTTCTTAGACGTTTACCACTTTGGTGAAACCCACAAACACGGCTATGGTGCTGACAAAACTTAAAACATAATCAGGGCGAACTGGGATTCGAACACACAACCATAGGTTTCTGTCACGCCTAAGGGACGTTACTCTCCATAGGCGCATCGCGGCGCCTTACATGAGTGCGTCATCCGTGGAACCTGTAATCTCGATAGTCGTATGTTCTTTCTATCAATCACTGTTTTGTTTGGTTTAGATCCACTTCCTTTGCCATTTGATGGAATTAATACACCAGAGGTCGTTCACGTAAAGATGTACAATAGCTATTTAAATCGTTGTCACATACACTTATTTGATATTTTAGATGTGACAGAATTTAAACTGTTTAAGAACGTTAAAAACATCATTATTTATTTTGTACAATAATTTAGTTGTTCTCATTAAGAAAGACATAATGCAAAAGAAATATGCCAATGTTTATTTCTTAAACTGCCTTTAACCTATTGCATATAATCCTGCACTGTTAGATTCGACACTGACTGATCACAGCGTAAGCGGAATCATGCCTCCGCTCGTCAGGTCGTCCTTGCCCTTCAGTGAAAGGAGTCCCCGCATCTGAGTGGCCGTTGAGTCAGTGTTGCTGCCGTCAGCTTTTGCGTGCCAGGTCCATCCACCAGCGTAACCACTTGTGTACAGGTGTTTGAACTGGTCAACGATGTCCATCCCTGCCCCTGATACCTGGTTGAACTCGGCTACCACCAACGGCTTCTTAAGCCCGTAGTCGGCGAAGACGTGCTGAAAGAAGCGTACTATTCTAATTTGACCTTCTGTCAATCTCGGGTACATATCTGTGTACACCATTGCTGATCTAAATTGCATTTATCAGTGTCATGATCAACACAGTCATCTTAACGCTACGACTATCGTAAGTCTTTGTTAAATTATGGGACTTGCTGCAATGGTATTAGTGTTAACCTAACTTTGTGTAACAGCCCACTGTGTCATGATGTAACAAAAAACTGCCCCGCCGAATATCAATATTAATAATATGCATAAATATATGTCCATGTCCATTTCAGGACATATGCACTAGGTTTAAAATATCTTACTATCGTATAAAGGGTCGGTTGGTTGAGCCCGGTCTGGACCATGCTTTTGTTGTATCGCTACACGTCATTTCAATTAGTGGAAAGAAATCCCAATGTGACACAGGTTCACGACTTTGGTGACACCTAGCAGAACGTCTGACAAATCAAGGATAGTTATCAGGACTAAGACGGGATTCGAACCCATAATCAGTGGATCCCGTAACGACTAAAGTATGCAATAATCTACAAAGCGACCTCAGACCACTGTTCAACCTTTGCCGACCGCGTCACCCGTGCTTTTGTCAATGACTTGGCCCCATAAGTGTGATTCGGAAATACTAACATCACATCTGTTCACCAATGTTCTAGGTGTAAATTCGAGCAACATATAATTACCTTAGTGATGCCCTGTGTTTCCGGGTACAGGCATGTACATCTGGACTGTGAACGTTTGATAAATAAAGGATGAAATGACAGTTTCAGTGTCAACAGGACTGACCTTGAAGGGGGAGAACTCGCTATATTTCCCTTGCCAGGAGTACGTATGACTCGAATAGAATGTCAGCGTGCCCTGAAACCACAACAGAGTTGTAAATATGCAACTAAGAGTTCAGTGTTGTACTAAATGCTATTGTTTTTTTCATAAGCCTACTCTCAATATAACTTCCGGGTTATCCCATGCGGTTCTTTAGACACTGCAAAAAAGGCGTTTCTGTGTTATCGTACCCTGACGACGTTGATCGTTTCGCATCCTATCGACCATAGATTTGCCCTTGATGATATTTGTTTATTTACACGCCGCCGGGATATAATGGCTGGTTTTGTGTAACAAATTTAAGTAAAACACGTCACCTCGCGTCACCTTGAACTGGTGAAAGACGTCAGGGCCCCGTCCTATGAAGCGATCTGAGCGCTAAGGCGATATTAACTTTCATCCTTTTATTAAATGATGGAGGACGACTGACCGTACATTATAGGGAGACGTGTATAAGGGTACAGTTGAGAACAAAAGGTTGGGTGAAGCTGAGTCATCCTGTTTTCACAACTGTTCCTTTTTATCCCGATACAGTACTGTCACGAGTCGTCTGTCTGCTACAGTCAAATACTCAAGTTCTCGAAACGCACACTCGTGTATGGATTTAATTGTGTGCGTATTCGTCACTTTATCCTCCCCACTGAACGCCCAGGAACCGACGGACCAGGCATCGAAGGACACGCGGCTCGAGCGGCGTTGTTGTACTGAGTGTACTTATAGGAGTACTTTATTTGTACCCCGCTTCCGGTCTGGTTGCCATGGTTTTCTTTGTTTAACGCGTAGGAGTATTGACCGATACACCTGTCGTTGTCACAGAAAAGTGTGAACGACATCGTCCCCAACAATGTGCTGGAAAACCAGCAAATCCAACACATATATCACGTGCATATATCACGTCAATATATAGTCGCGTACTGTAGTATTAATATCAGTCTGACACGAGTCTGACAGGATGTGACCGTCTGGGCGTCTTGACCGAAAGTGAGGTATAACTTAGCGTTTATACGTATTCCGGAAATTACCATCTTTTTGCTCCCAGCCTTCACAAGGCACTCGTCTTTGTACAGATTGAAGCCTGCCCATTTGTCAACATTGTCCCTCGCTTCCCAAGACCCAGCCGTGACGAGCGCCTGGGGATCAACCTGTCTGATAGCATCTACCTGCCAGTTTATGAATCTGCAAAACAAGAAGGTGAACTGTTTGGACTTGATGAGGAATTAACTTCAAATTTTACACTCTTTTTCACACGCGAAGTGAGCACACCTTTTTCACTTTCATAAATCCATAAACGCAAAAAACATATTGAAGTCAATTCTTATAAATAAATACCTCAGTAATAATAACTTCATATACTGCTTAATTAATCATGACCACAAAAACACTTTTAGTATAGTGCGATAAATCAGAGATATGCTCAGACACGTCCATTATATATACAGTCAACCAGGAAACAAGTCAGTGGGACTAGTGGGCGTGGACTTGTTTCTCGGTTTACGGCATCAGAAACGGAAATCAAATTTATTAAATAAGCCAATCAAATGCTACGGAATCACAGTTTATCTATACTCATATATCTTGCACAATCGACATGCGCATGATGTTAGTGTCATGCACATTATTGTTTGTTGTTTAACACCGCAGTCAGCAATGTTCTAGCTACATGAGGACGGCCTGTACAAGACTGAGCCTGGATCAGACAAACCATGAGCAACGCCTGACGAAAGAAAGTAGACAATCCAATGGGGGATATTATGTGCAACGTTTATCAACACCGTCGCGATCGGGTTGCAATGACATGCATTAACCAAGTCACCGATCCTGAGCGATCGAACCATTCAGCCGCCTCTTACGACCAGCATAGATAACTGGTGGCTAATTCTATCACTAATTGGCAGTCCTAGCAAGGCTGATTCAGTTTATTCAAAATCTATTTTGCCGTATATCAATAGAGGAGTTAGTGGATACCCTATCACCACTATGTCATTTTATCAGTTTCACACTGATTGCAACGTCTGGACCCGTGAAGATCCGGGTTAGAATTGGTCTTCAGCAACCCAAGCTCGTAGTAAGAGGCGATCAACGGGATAGAGCGAGTTAGAGCAATACTCATGATGTCAACCACTGGATTGACTGGTCCAGACTCAATTATGTACACACATCCGTCATATAGCTGGAATATTGCGGCGTTAAACAACAAACAAACCGAGACTGGAAGAGAGCACCTGGCCGTGTAAATAAGTTAACCTCTTTAAACAAAGTGGAAATCCGCGGTGGTTACAGTGTGTGGAACAGTCTTCTGTCTTGATAATAAAAGCGACAAAAAACATCCCATGATCGTAAGAAATCTCCACTAAAAGCAGAGTCCATTGTTGGAGTCCGACGACATCATCAACATGTGTTTATTAATAACTATCAAATAGTGATGCCAGGTGTTCTCAAAAAGATGAGCGTGTCCAGGCCCACCTTTGGCAACCGTCACAGACCCATGCACTGGCAAGTCAGTCGTCCACAAACTATTGACTCGATTCACAAAGCGATCGTTGTGCTATTGAAATTACGATATTTCCGAGACTGATTTGTGAAATTAGGTCCTGGGTCATTTTTCACTACGCGGTCATTGCCCTAACACGACTACAACGTGAAAACGTTAACAGTATTTCACAGTAGTCGTAGCTTTGTTCCTATCACCTTGTGCAAGTGTGTTCTAGTACACGTACTTCAGAAACTCCTCTGCCGTATACTTGTTGCCCGCCCAACCTGCCCCAGAGTTAAGCAGGAATTTTGTATCAAAACATGGTTCTGCGTTGGCCAGGTTGGGCTTGATTTCTCCCTCCATCTCGTTGATGATGTCCCAGCCCCCCATAGCGGGTTCGTCTTTCACTGCCTTCACCCACGGGATCAAGGCATTATCTATGTACGACTGCAACTTTGCCTCGTCCTGAAAGTGAGGCATATTGTAGACCAGGGATCAACCATTGAATAGTGGTGGTGGTGTGGGGTGCCATTCGTCGAATATCAGGCCACCAACATTTTCCAATAACATGTATCCAATTTATATACCGGATTGATTTAGTAGTCATGTTCAATGAACTACATACTATTTGTGCGGTTTTTTTTTTGAAGAGTGTAAGAGTGTACATATTTTAATATGACATGCGAATTTTCTCTTTCAGACATGTTGCACCTTATTGCAAAAATACCTGTCTTTGAGCGGTTTTGCTGAAAGGTGAATTTATTTATTATATCATAAATGTCTGACACTTTTATCCATTCCATTCACTATTTGTTCATAACAAGATCTTTTAGATTGAGTGAAAGACGAAATAATGTGCATGTGTATCTGGGCCCAAGATAAAGAAATACTTTGATTAGCCCGTCCAGCTTGAAGTGGTCGTTCTGTGCTAGGGCCCCGTTCCACAGGCAGAAGAAGATGAGGATGTTGTACTCCAGGGCCTTCCGCAGGTACTTCTTGATGTCGTTGATAAAGGTGCCCTTTTGATCCAGGCTCACGACCATGCCAGATGCGTCAAAATGGGGAGTGACAGCTCCCTCGATATGTACCCACACACCTAGAGGAAGATATATGTATGTACATGCGATATAAAAAGAGGTGTTTATGAGTTGTTTGCATGCTGGAGTTGATCACGGTTGCTTGATGGCTGCGGCCTTTTGATGTGGCCTGCTTCTTGGAGATGTTTGATTTTGAAGTCTTTAAGGTTGGTTGTAAGTACTTTCATTTTGTTCCCCTGGACTGAGGTTGTCTTATCCGTATTAAGTACTCCAACTTCAAAATGCCTCTCAAAGACGTCATATGTTTGTACACGTGACAGGAAAAGAGGTGTTCACATATTAGGTGATTGCTGCAACAATCCTAGGAAGAATGCTGATCTGTTGACGGATAACTCACTCACAATATAAATTTGCAATGAAATATAGTTAAACGTTAGTTCACTGGTCTCGACTATTGACAAACACTAACTGCTTCACGTCATCAAATAAGTGTCTGCCTCGAAGCACTAACCGCACCTGTAAAAGGGGTCTGTCTTGCAGTAAAACCTGCAACAGTTAATCATATAGATTTCTCCCCACAAGGACAACCTGCAACACTTCATCATATAGTTGTCTGCCTCGCAGTACTACCCGCACCTGTTAAAGATATAGGTGTCTGCCTCGCAGTACAACCTTCACCTGTTAATCATACAGGTGTCTGTCTCGCAGTACCAGCTGATACATTTAAGCATATAGGGGTCTGCCTCGCAGTACAACCTGCAACTGTTAATCATATAGCTGTTTGCCCCGCAACACTAACTACAGCACTTCATCATTTAGTCTGCCTCGCTGTACTACCCGCAACTGTTAATCATACAGGTGTCTGCTCGCAGTACAACCTTCACCTGTTAATCATATAGGTGTCTGTCTCGCAGTACCAGCTGCAGCAGTTAAGCATATAAGGGTCTGCCTCGCAGTACAACCTGCAACTGTTAATCATATAGCTGTTTGCCTCACAGTATTAACTGCATTACTTCATCATGTAGGTGTCTGCCTCGCGCTACTACCTGGAACAGTTAACCATTAAGTTGTCTGCTTCGCAGTACTCTATGCATTTGTTAATCATACAGGTGTCTGCCTCGCAGTACTACATGTATCTGATCATCATATAGGTGTCCCCCTCGCACTACTACATACAACTGTTAACCATATAGATGCAACAGTAGCACAACCTGCAACAGTAAGTCATAAAAGTGTCCCCCTCGCACTACTACATACAACTGTTAATCATATAGATGTCTGCCTCGCAGCACAACCTGTATCTGTTCATCATATATGTGTTTGCCTCGCAGTACCACCCGCAAGTGCTAATCATATAGCAGTTTGTCTCACAGCACTAACTGCATCACTTCATCATACTACCCGCAACTGTTAATCATATAGGTGTCTGCCTCGCAGCACAACCTGCAACAGTAAGTCATATAGGTGTCTGCCTCACAGTACTACCTGCAAAGCTAACCATAAAGGGGTCTGCTTCGCAGTACTACCTGCAACTGTTAATCATATATGGGTCTGTTTCGCAGCAATACATGTATCTGATCATCATATAGGTGTCTCCCTCGCACTACTACATGCAACTGTTAATCATATAGGTGTCTGCCTCGCGGCACAACCTTCAACAGTAAGTCATATAGGTGTCTGCCTCGCAGTACTACCTGCAACTGTTAATCATATAGGTGTCTGCCTCCCAGTATAATCTGTATATGTTCATCATATAGGTGTCCGTCTCGAAGTTCAACCTGCAGTAATTCCTCATATTGGTGTCTGCCTTGCATTAATACCTGCAAATGTTAGCCATATATGTGTCTCTCTCGCAGTACCAGCTGCAACAGTTAATTATATAGGGGTCTGCCTCGCAGTACCATCCACAAGTGCTAATCATATAGGTGTTTCCCTCACAGCACTAACTGCATCACTTCATCCTGTAGGTGCCTGCCTCGAAGTACTACCCGCAACTGTTAATCATATAGGTGTCTGCCTCGCAGTACAACCTTCAACAGTTTATCATATAGGTATCTGCCTCGCAGTACAGACACCAACAGTTAATCATATAGGTATCTGCCTCGCAGTACAACCTCCAACAGTTAAACATATATTTGTCTACCTCGCACAAAAACCAGCAACTGTTAATCATGTTGGTGACTGCCTTGCAGGACTAACTGTATTTGTTAATCATATAGGTGTCTAACTCACAGTACTACCTGCAACAGTTAACCATATAAGTGTCTGCCTCGCAGTACAAGCTTGCGACCGTTCATCATATAGGTGTCTTCCTCAAAGTACTACCTGCAACTGTTTATCATGTAGGTGTCTGCCTCACAGTACTACCTACAACGGTAAATCATAGAGGTGTATGCCTTGTAGCACTACTTGCAACAATAATCATATAGGTATCTGCCTCGCATTACAACCTCCAAAAGTTAATCACATAGTTTTCTGCCTCGCAGTACACCTGCAAGTGTTAATCATAGAGGTGTCTGCCTCACAGTACAACCTGCAACTGTTCATCGTATAAGTGTCTGCCTCACAGTTCTACCTGCAAGCGTAAATCATAGAGGTGTCTGCCTCACAGTACAACCTGCAACTGTTCATCGTATAAGTGGCTGTCTCGCAGTACTACCTGCAAGGGTAAATCATAGAGGTGTCTGCATTGCAGCACAACCTGCTAATGTTAACCACATTGATGTCTGCCTCGCAGCACTAACTGTATTTGTTTATCACAGAGGTGTCTAACTCACAGTACTACCTGCAACAGTTAATCACATAAGTGTCTGCCTCGCAGTACAAGCAGCGACCGTTCATCATATAGGTGTCTTCCTCAAAGTCCTACCTGTAACAGTTAATCATATAGGTGTCATCCCCACAGTACAACCTACAGCCGTTCATCATGGGTCTGCCTCGCACTACAACTCGTAACAATTAATCATATCGGTGTCTGCCTCGCAGCACTACCTGCAACTGTTGATCATATACCTGTCTGCCTCAAAGTACAACCTGCAACTGTTTATCACGTAGTTGTCTGCCTCACAGTACTACCTACAACGGTAAATCATATAGGTGTCTGCCTTGTAGCACTACCTGCAACAGGTAATCATATAGGTGTCTGCCTCGAAGTGCAACCTGCAACTTCTAATCATAAAGGTGTCTGCCTTGCAGCACTACTTGCAACTGTTGATCATATAGCTGTTTGCCTCACAGTAAAACCTGCAACCGTTCATCCTATAGGTGTCAGCCTCGCAGTACAACCTACAACCGTTCATCATATAAGTGTCTGCCTCAAAGTACTAACTGCAACAGTTATTCATAGAGGTGTCTGCCTCACAGTACAACCTTCAACCGTTCATGATAGAGGTGTCTGCCTCGCAGCACAACCTGCAGCAGGTAATCACATAGACGTCTGCCCCATAGTACAACCTGCAACCGTTTATCATATAGGTATCTGCCTCGCAGTACAGACACCAACAGTTAATCATATAGGTATCTGCCTCCCAGTACAACCTCCAACAGTTAATCATATATTTGTCTACCTCGCACAAAAACCAGCAACTGTTTATCATGTAGGTGTCTGCCTTGCAAGACTAACTGTATTTGTTAATCATATAGGTGTCCAACTCACTACCTACAACAGTTAATCATAGAAGTGTCTGCCTCGCAGTACAAGCTGCGACCGTTCATCATATAGGTGTCTGCCTCAAAGTACTACCTGCAACAGTTAATCATATAGGTGTCTGCCTCAAAGTACTACCTGCAACAGTTAATCATATAGGTGTCTGCCTCAAAGTACTACCTGCAACAGTTAATCATATAGGTGTCTTCCCCGAAGTATTACCTGCAACAGTTAATCATATAGGTGTCTTCCCCGAAGTACTACCTGAAACAGTTAGTAATATAGGTGTCTGCCTCAAAGTACTACCTGCAACAGTTAATCATATAGGTGTCTTCCCCGAAGTACTACCTGAAACAGTTAGTAACATAGGTGTCTGCCTCAAAGTACTACCTGGAACCGTTCATCATATAGGTATCTGCCTCCCAGTACAACCTCCAACAGTTAATCATATATTTGTCTACCTCGCACAAAAACCAGCAACTGTTTATCATGTAGGTGTCTGCCTTGCAAGACTAACTTTATTTGTTAAGCATATAGGTGTCCAACTCACTACCTACAACAGTTAACCATATAAGTGTCTGCCTCGCAGTACAAGCTGCGACCGTTCATCATATAGGTGTCTGCCTCAAAGTACTACCTGCAACAGTTAATCATATAGGTGTCTGCCTCAAAGTACTACCTGCAACAGTTAATCATATAGGTGTCTGCTTCAAAGTACTACCTGCAACAGTTAATCATATAGGTGTCTTCCCCGAAGTACTACCTGCAACAGTTAATCATATAGGTGTCTTCCCCGAAGTACTACCTGAAACAGTTAGTAATATAGGTGTCTGCCTCAAAGTACTACCTGCAACAGTTAATCATATAGGTGTCTTCCCCGAAGTACTACCTGCAACAGTTAGTAATATAGGTGTCGGCCTGGAAGCCCGTTCCCTTGAGGGATAGATAGATCTTCCCTATTGCTTTGCCATCAATTTAGACGTTATCCAACTAAATAGTTATCAATGCATTACGTGATCGCGAGACAGAAAACATCAGTTGATGAGAAGAAGATTAAACCACAACCATTAATAATTATCTCTTTTGTAAATCAGTTGTTATTTTAAATGTAATACCAAAAAATATCTTATTCCGGGAAGTTTGTGGACTCATACCAAATTTGATAAACCTGGATGTTAGCAAGAAGAATTTTTGTCATACTTTCTAACGTAACAACCATTTAGCAGATTGCGTGATCGGCTGGTGACAGGGCCTCAGTGCTGTCATAGAATTGTGTCCTTTGTGATCACAGACACATTTGTTGTTGTTTTTGAAAATGTTCAGTCAATTCCGACACTGTCGGTTTCCTATAAAATGTTCCCGTCAATAAATCTTTCGAAATAAATTGTGTATGCGACTTTGTTCCAAATTATGCGGAACCATAATACGTACTCATCCCAATATTGTCACATCTAACCAATTCCAGCTGCTCAAAACTAAAATATAACCAAAAATGTTAAATATTCCCTAAGTGTACACTCTGGGATACATACGTATAGAATTGCCGCCGTTTTGAGAAACCAACTTCAGGTACTTTTCAAATTCTAAGTGTCTGTATTCGTAGTTATTGTCTCCGAAATCGTAGCCGTAGGCTATCCAGGCCTGGTTAACTCCGGATAGAAAAACCTTCTTGCCGTTCTGTTCAAAGTGAGTCCCCTTCACAGTCAACCGTGTTCCCTCTGGAATACATTGTGAAGAATAAATCTACACTATAGGATCATGTTAAACGCGTGTAGTTATCTTTGCTAAAATAAGTAATGTAAATTGTGACAATGCCATCTTGATATCACCTCAAAAATAACCATGACTCACTTAATCTGAAATATTACAGGGAACACGTTTGGCCCAGTCGTCTGTGATTCCAGAGCGTGCCAAAAGACTATAATCGGGTTCGAATCTCAGATTAGCCTTGATTTTCTTTCAAGGTTTGTCAGCATCATCTTCATTCTCGACCTTCATCACTTCGGCCTTTCCTCTCACATCAAACTGACATGCTTTGATATAACTGAATTGTGTTCAAAGAAGCGTCAAACCAAACTCACTCATTCCTTTAAAAATTAATATAAATTACATGTAACATATCCACCTGGGACAAATACTATTGGGAATGTCTACATTAATCAAAAAGACATTACTCAACAGAAACTATTAATTAAAATTCCGGCTTAAGAGGTTTCACTATTTGGGTATATCACGTACTTCGAGCGGGAGCTGTCCCTAAATCAGTTACTGCCATGGTGACGGGTTGTGACGTCACAGCTGGTTGTGACATGACTGGTTGGTTGGTATGTCCTGTGTTCGGGCGTCCTGTGTTGGGGTTCTGGGATCCACCAGTCGAACAGATTGCCACTGCGTGGGTCTCGGGAGCATCACATTTCTCTGATATCCACTCGCCAACGTCGGTGTATTGACGGAGGAGGGCGCCACACACCGTTCCGGTCTCAGTGGTGGGGCTGCCTGAAATTAAGAGAAAAGTTTTTTTAGTCTCTCTAACAGTGAAGAAAGTCTCCAGGGCACACGAGTGTCACGGTCGTGTCTACAGAGCTGTGTCTTTTGGTGTGCCAGAATTATTATTATTATGATTCTTGGTATCTCATGTTTCTTAACGCCATGACCGTACGCGTGAATTTGACCAAAGTGGTAAACACCCTTCATGACTTCAGGCTTTCCTTTATTTAGGTAACACGCTGTAATTTAAATGCAATACTGTTAAAAAGATGTTAAAATCGACTCATATTTTCCAGAATTACATCAGGTTATGGAACAGGAACAATCAATGTTAACAGACACGACGGACCCGATGTGCTCCATGCAACGAGTTATTCGTGTTTATCGTATAACTGTATGAAGGGTAAATTGGTTACCGCCATGCCAGAATGTGTAGTCCACCATGGTGCCATCGGTCCACTGCCAGGTTTGTCCGTCATGCTTCAGACCAATCCAACAGTTGTGCGGAGAACCTGGCATATATATGGCGAAGTATGGATTTGTTTGTTGGTTTGGTTTTAACGCTGCACTCAGCAATATATGAAGAAGGTCTGCAAATGAACATTCACTGAATCACTCATTTATATATCTACGATCATGTGTGACTTACCGGAACCTCTGCATGTGTCTTTCAACCTGTCGTTGTGGTTTCGGTCATGTATAGACGCTAGATGGCCACCTTTGGCAACACATTCCTTCTCGGCGTCCGAGAAGCTCACCGGCTTTTCAATCATTTCAAGATGCTCTGAAATGCAATTTGATAATGCGATAGGAGTGCAGCATGATAGACAAACATTAAAGAGCAAGCAGTTCCGGGCTGGAGTCAATGAGGCTAATCGCTACTCTTATAATGGTGTGTGTGGTAATGAAAACAACCACATTTGGACTACACTAGTGAGATAGTATTTAAGCCGGATATGTCTAAGCCAGATGTCAAACTGGAAACAGGTTTTTTTCAATACCGATTCTTCATTTATTAGCTTTGTCCCATTTCACAAAACGTCCTTGGCACTAATACGATCTTAACTTCCATACTACATGGAACGAGGTCAAACAATAACCAACAAAAACATATGTTTACTGTGCATAGGGTAATAGAATGGGAAAACGTTCCGTTAGCCCTGGCTCCAATACCAACATAACAGTTCAAACAACCTTGAAACGATTCAAATCTTCACAGCTTTTGCTTATTATATTTCAAATTATGTCTGTTGTCCTTGCAGACAAGCGCTGTGCTTTAAGGAGGAGGTAGGATAAACACCCTTTTTTCATCCACTGGAAATGTTCGAATTTAAAGTTGTATGCATGTATGAAAATATGAGGCATGTACAAATGGCTGACAGCAAGATTTTTCTCTTAGAAATTCGTACAAACGTTTTGGACTTTAGCCATGATCAAATACACAAGTATGACTGAAGTAAGTGAACAGACAATCTATCTATGAGAAAGTCCGTTATGAATTGATTTGACATATGTTTGCACTGTGTTTAAATCAATTTCCAAATAGACGTTGGTCAAAAACTTGCTCCTAATTAGCTAATTAGTTTAGAAAGAAATGTTTCCTGAAAACCTCTAATCAGCCATTTAGCCACCTTGACACCCATTTAGCCTTAGCTATTCTCTTATAATTATCATAGGTCCCAAAGTCTCATTTTCATTCATGTATGGACACACCATATCATTTACATTATGATGTGTAAAAGTATTCTTCAATCATTTAATAATGTATATCCCTTGTGCCCAAAAGGGACCCTTATCCTCCTTTCACCTTTATGCAGGAATGCTGGGCAGATGATTAGGTTTCAAGAAAAGCGATTGATAAACATTACATTTATTCCCTGAAACCATAGCGTGAAATCAAACCTACCTGCTGCCACATGATACAGCAAAGCAATGCACAGTGTGATGATTGACACCATCTGAAAAAAACAATGCGAAATTTTGAACAAACATTCCACAGCCAAATAAATGCATTATGTTTCTTCCTTCTAAGTACAAATGTAGCTATAAGATATAGCAGGACATGCTCACCCTTTTCGCGAAAACCGACAGTCATCACTCTTTTTCAGTGATCCAGTCATATTATTTTTCGGCAGATAATCGTGATTGATTGTTCTCTGAGGTGGAAGTTATATTTACCAATCTACCCGTTTGGTCATTTGGCCAGTATAATATAAAAAACGTAAGCCAATGTGCGACACATTTAGGAAATGGTTGAAAACTAGCCTCACCATTGCTTCCACGTAGAACGTCAGCGTTGATTGTGCCCAGTCTGTTATCTTCCACACATTGAGTCCGTCCATTCAACACCTTCCTGCACTGGGCAGAAATAGAATGTCTTTTTATCAGGTTACCCTTAATTCCTTGCTTGATAACGGTATAAGGCATTTACAGCAAATACAGAAGTTGTTGTCCATAAATTGTGTCTACTTTGAAATCAAATTTAACAACCAATTTCTCAAAAAAAACTATGCCGGTCCTGTTTGATGCCTAGTTCTACATTTAACAACATACTGACTATGAGATGGTGTTTCAGTCTGCCAAAGGTGCAGTCATTTGCTGTGCTGAGATGCATCCTTCAATAGTACCAGGATACTATTAGTAAAATGGCGGGATGATTGCTGTAAAATAACACCCACTCAATTACTATACTCTTTCCGTGGGTGTATTTACAAAAGCATTGTGCCCTATGACCGTTGCATGGAATTAGCGCTTTTCAAATGTACATATTAATATCATTTTTTTATTATAATCTTCCTGTTGAATTATGAAACATTCATCCCGAATTAACAAACGCCCCGAGCCTTCAGCGATAATTGGAACATTGATACAATAAGAAGCAGTAATATTCTTCATTCTGAATTCCAAGCAGGTTTTTTTTATTGAGTTTGCTGTACAAACACCATATCATACAATATGGTCAATTATATAAGACCCACAAAAACCATTTCCATAATCATAAGAAACCGTAAGAGTCCATTATACGATTCCGACTATATCAGTAACATGTGTTATGAATCACTATCAAACAGTGGTAATACCAGGTGTTCGCTAAAAGGTGAGCGCATCCTGCTCCAAACATCTACGAGTTGAACGTGAGTTATGAGCGTAAGCATTATCTTGCTGGAAAGTGAAATCTTTACCTGGGAAAACTAAACGAGACCTATGCTGTTTGATATCGTTGATGATAACTTGCTGATATTTATTTCTATTCAGGGTACCCGGCACTTTCTTCAGAATTCCTGAACATCATCCCCCAAACGTGAATCTGGAGTGGGTGTTTTACAGTAGTCTGTGGACAGTAATGGCAGCATCTTTCATGGGAGAAACGCCTTACTTTCATTCTGACCCCAATCTGTTATCTTCCACACATCGAATCCGTTCATTCAGCACCTGCTTGCACTGGGCAGAAATAGAATGTCCTACGGTTACTGAAACATCTGAAGATCGATTCGTCTGAGAACAGAACCTTGTTCCAATCCTGCACCAGAAAATGTCTGTGTTGCCTTGACCAGAAAAATCGCTTCCTTCGTTGTGCTTTGTTAAGAAGAGGATTCGCTTCCTGCTTGGAACATAACATCGGATGCCAAAGGGTGTAGTCTCCGAGAGATGGCCATGTGACTAATACGCTTGCCGATTGTGCTGCGTAATCGACTTCTCAGAATGTTGAGGGTATTTACTCCAAAGACGAGAACAAATATCTACGGTTAATGTTTAGAACTGTGTAATCAGTAAACCAAGCAAATGTAAAGTTAATGATTTACTGAAACAACATTACTTACCTTCCGTTTGTGACCTCTGTTCCTTGTCGATATGGGTGTAACTGGCATGGTTCCATTTCACGGTTGCACTATCGATTGTTTTGCGACCAAATCATATATGTTTTATTGTGGTTGGGCACATTAACAAACATACATACTCATATCGAGACAAACGTAGTATTGTATGTAGACAGAACTTCGCCTTCGTTAAACATCTACATTCGAAGAACAAGTTGCTAAAAGGAAACGAATGTAACGCGATCACGGCCGTCAATCTCCCGTTGACAGCACTCCTCTCAATGCTTATATACGGAAGTTTAGAAAGAAAAAGAGGTGAGGTGAGGTGAAATTGGGTTGAACGTCGAGTCCATGATGATTGCACTTATATAGCGACGTGCATGCACGTGTGTGTGTGTGTGTGTGTGTGTGTGTGTGTGTGTGTGTGTGTGTGCGTGCGTGTGTGTGTGTCTGCTTGTACTAGTCTGGACTGATGGCGATTTATAGTGCTAGCCCACTGAGATACCATGCCGCAGTTTAACATGAAAACCCCACTCAGACACAGTGTACTGACTCCGAGCCGACCAGTCCTTGTTTAAAGGGGAAGTGTACGCGCAAAAATCACTTTCTTTCTTTTTCTAAACAAAACGCAATTTTAGAATTAGTTAGTATCTGTGTTTGAAAATATACGCTCATTTTTTTTCACAGTGAAAGTAGGAAGCTCACAATAGTGTTAAAATGATATGTCGTTATGAGGCCTTCGTTTTACGAGCGAAATAGGCCTGAGTTATCCCCCTTAGATTATGACGTAATTGGTGCCAATTCAACTGGGTCCCTGTCTATTCTCAACGCAAAAGATATCAAGGACCAGTTTGCGGTAAAACAACATGGTCTACGACACACTCCGGCGCAGTGGTGACTCAGCATAACACAATTCTGGCTGGCATCTGAGACGCTAGAATCACAAAACTGTACCTACACAACGTGAAGCGGCTCTAACAAAGCATGATGACGTCATAATGTTTATCAATTGGCACCAATGACGTCATATTGCAAGGGGCATAAGCCATGGTGTTTTTGTTATGGAAATAGAACACTTGGTAAATGTGAAAAATATAAATCGTTTTAATGCAAAAAATATGTTAATTAAATATGATGTTTTTATATTTTTGTCTATGACACTTCTATGTTAACACTTTTAATGTGGAAAAAGTACAAGAAAAATTGGTTCATTTCCGTGTGAACTTGCCCTTTAAGCCCCTTAATGCCGAGCGCAAGACAGGGCAACAAGTACCATATTTGAACGTCTTTTGGTATGACGCGGCCGGGGATCGAACCCCGGACCTTCCGATCTCCGGGCGGACGCTCTACCTCTAGAACACGGAGGCGGTCTAGAAAGAAAAAGGAAATATATATATATATTATATAACAGCACAGTAAAGATCTAAACTCGTGCCACATGTCCGTTATTCAGGTATTGCCTCATGAGACGCGTACGTGGTACGAGTTGAAAGCGCTAGCCAATTAAAACTGTGTCCAATCTTACTCCACTTATTTAATTATTACTATATATATATATATATATATATATATTATATATAATAAAATAATAAAGTCCACGTTAGTCCATCATCTTCTTTATATCAGTTTGAGACATAGTACTTTCGCTGTCTCATGACAGCTCTTCAGTGTAACTGACAATGACATATAATATGACGTCATAAATTACAACTGTGACGTCATAATGTATTTACACACTCCGGCGACGACACCAAGTAATTTAAAAGGCAAGTTCACACGGAAATGAACCTATTTTTCTTGTACTTTTTCCACATTAAAAATGTTAACCTCGAAATGGCATAGACAAAAATATAAAAATATCACAATTAATTAACATATTTTACGCATTAAAACGATTTATATTTTTCACATTTACCATGTGTTCTATTTTCACAACCAGAACACCATGGCTTATGCCCCTTGCAATATGACGTCATTGGTGCCAATTGATAAACATTATGACGTCATCATGCTTTGTTAGAGCCGCTTCACGTTGTGTAAGTACAGGTGTGTGATTCTTGCGTCTCAGATGCCAGCTAGCATAGTGTTATGCTGAGTCACCACTGCGCCGGAGTGTGTCGTAGGCCATGTTGTTTTACCGCAAACTGGTACTTGATATCTTTTGCGTTGAGAATAGACAGGGACCCAGTTGAAATGGCACCAATTACGTCATAATCTAAGGGGGATAACTCAGGCATGTTTAGCTCGAAAAAACGAAGGCCTCATAACGGCATATCATTTACACACGATTGTGAGCTTCCTACTTTCACTGTGAAAAAAATGAGTGTATATTTTCAAACACAGATACTAACTAATTCTAAAATTGCGTTTTGTTTAGAAAAAGAAAGAAAGTGATTTTTGCGTGTACACTTCCCCTTTAACGCGTTGATCCGAAAATAATTAACATTTCTAAAAGACAACTCACTACAGCTGAAATAACTTTACTAAAACGGGGTCTAAAGTTCACGCCAACTCCGTCACAGAATCACGAAGAGCTTAAAGTGGACATTCATGCATTTAGTAGAAGACTGAGACTCATGGAATATTTCGAATGCGATGATCAAGAGGATGATGTATCCGTTTCCGATAAAAATTCGATCACAAATAGACTATTATTAAGGAACAAAAGCATGTTCAATCCAAAAAAGAACAGGGATAAATACCTTGATGACTACTTAAACAACCTGGAGAAATATCCTTTACGGAACATCAGGAAGTGCCATGCCAACTTATCACTGGAAGAACGTCAAGCTGTGGAGGATCTTAAAAATGACAAATCGATTGTTATTAAGGAAGCAGATAAAGGCGGCGCAGTCGTAATAATGGACTCGGAATATTATGAATCAAAATTTTATGAATTATTGCAAGACAAGGAATTTTACATTAAAACAGATAATACTGGAAAAATCTGTAATTAAGAAAATTAAAAAACATAGTGAAGACTTCTCTGGAGATCTACACCCTAAGAAAAAGACCACTTAATAAACTGTGACCCGCAGACGGCTAATTTCTACGGACTACCAAAGATCCATAAAAGTAAACTTATAAATAATGCTATTGCCGAACAGAATGCGGAGTATATCGAAATTACCAGCTGTCCTCGTCGATATCATTTTAAAACCATTAACAAAGCATGTACCGAGTTTTGTAAGAGACGATGTAGACTTTCTTACCCACCTGCCCGATGCCGTACCTATTGATGCGACTCTAGCCACCTTTGATGTGAAGAGTTTATTTACCAACATACCCCATGATCTGGGATTGGAAGCAGTTCAATTTTGGCTGAGAAAACATCCTGAGGCTATTGACACTGAATTTTCGGAAAGCTTCATCGTGGAATCTTTAAGATTAGTCTTAGAAAAAAATACCTTCTGTTTCAACGGAAAATTCTATCATCAAAGAAAGGGAACGGCCATGGGAACGAAAGTCGCTCCAACATACCTACACTTGTGATGGGTTGCATAGAGGATATTCTTTACAGGATGGTACACGATTCCATGTGAGAATCCATTGCCAAACATGTGCGCGAAACTTGGAAGCGATTCTTGGACGATTGTTTTTTAGTTTGGCTCTCAACTCGTGAAAATGTAGACATTTTTCTGGATATAATTAATACGCTCCATCCTTCCATCAGTTTTACTATGGAGTTTAGCGAGAGTGAAATTCCATTTCTGGACGTCCTTGTAGAAAAAGGAAGATACTAAATTGAAAACTGATATCTACTACAAACCAACGGACACCCATCAATACCTACAATTCGGTTCATGTCAACCCAGGCATACAAGAACTAACATTCCTTATTCACTTGCGCGGAGAGTATGTACCATCGTGTCGGAAACGGATAAAAGAGACTTAATATTGAAAGAATTGATGGGGTATCTCAAGAAGCTAGGATATCCGCTTCGCGTCATTAATGACGCCATAGAAAAATCGTTAAAAATACCAAGACATACTCTCCTGAAACCTAATGAAAAATCTGTGGGCGATCAAATTATACCGTTTGTGTCCACCTTCAATCCTAATAACTGTGATATCATGCAAGTCATAAGGGAAACCTCCGAATTCTACAGCAAAGTGATAAAATGAAACAAGGACTGAATAAATTTAAAATTATTAAAAGTACCAAGCAACCAAAAAATCTCAAGCAAAATCTTTGTCCATCCAAATATTCTTGTACAGAGAGTGTACCATGTGTAAGTAGATGTAACACACCAAGATGTGGCACGTGTAACATCATAAGTGAAGGTACTACTTTCCTTTTTGCAAATGGCAAGGGTTTCAATGTGAAAGCCGACATGAACTGCCGCAGCAAAGATGTGGTGTATGTTATGAGATGTTCGGGATGCGGCGAAAACTACATCGGTGAAACCGGCATGGAATTAAAAGATAGAGTCAAGGTACACAAACAGCAGATTAGAGACCCTGATGTTCGATGCATAGGTGTCAGCAAACACATTGATGATTTCGGAAACGGGAAATGTACCATTTTTCCGTTTTATAAATTGTTTACAAGTAACAAGCAGCTGAGACTGGAAAAAGAACAAATGTTTATCCAATTGATGAAACCCAAATTGAACTCTAGAATGTATTAACAGATTTCTCATTTCAATCGTAAATGTTACACTGTTACTTTACAAATACTGTATATTTTAATTCAAATGTCTCCCTACAATTGTTAAATTACTTGGGGGACGTTTTCGCGGGCTTGACCAGAAAAATGGTCATGGCCAGAAAACGTGGTTTAGCGTTTTGGCGTTGCGGTCATGTGACCGCCCGGTCGTTCGGTCATGAAAACACACAACCGCGGTCACGACCCGCGACTTGACCAAAGGCGGCTGGTCATAAACTCCGGTCCCGGGACCGAGAGTTGGTCGCTGCGACCTTGACCGTGGCGCGAAAACGACTTTCACCTTGACCGCAGCGCGAAATTCAAAACAACATGGCGGAAGGAGGAATCGGCAGTACTGGGTTGGCTGCGTTGATAGACGCTATCGATGAGCCAAACCAGTTTTTGTTTGATTATTTATTAAGGCCTCAATCTCGAAGAAGATCGTCTTTATTATCAAGTGGCTGTCTTCTTGAAATGCAGCCAGACGACCATCCTCATCATGAGGAGTATGCTGAAGTGATTGTCCCTCGATACTCGACTGATGATTTCCAATCTCACTTCAGGTTGCACAGGACAAGCTTCGAACAGCTGTGTCAGGAATTACACCAAACAGATCCGAGTATTGTCACTACCTTCTCTGGAGGTAATACGCCTGTGTCCCTGGAAAAGTCGACTATGATCACGCTGTGGTACCTGGCAAATCAAGATTCCATGAGGACCATCAGTGTTAAATTTGGAGTAGCCAAGAGCAGTGTCCACTCGGTCGTACACACGGTGAATACCGTGATTGAAAAGATGGCAAAGAAATACATAAAATGGCCTGATGCACATAGGATGGCTACAATTGCATCATAATTTCAAGACCGTGCAGGATTTCCAGGTAAGTAGACAAGTGGATATCCGGATATTTTTCATAGATAATTGTATTCATTTGTATGATTATTTATATTGCTAAACTATCATCTGTTGATCATGTTGAAACATGTCCCGTATATTTTTGTCGGGTCTTAGACTAGTATATAATATATCATTGTATAAGTTGTAACAATATACATGATGAATACACTTTGAATTTGTGTCCTTATATAGGCCTACTTGAAAACCTTTATGTCCCCTTTGACTTTTAGTCTCCCTCCGCTGCATGCTAAGTCCATATAAGTCATTAGCCAGGCAACCTCAGTACAGGAGGACCTTGGGGGTCAGGTTAGAAGTAGTCTGTTGTAGCCTATAAGTGCACATTGTAGAGCAGACATATTTTTCATGCTATCAGGGGGTCATTGGAGCCATTGATGGTTGCCACATTCCCATTAAAGCTCCATCAAGTCACCAGGAGGATTACAACAACAGGAAAATGACCCATACAGTCATCTTACAGGCAGTCTGTGACAGCCATGGAGTGTTTACAGACTGTTTTGCAGGTGAGCAAAATTGTTCATGCACATGGATACATTTTGTTTAGGACTAGATACTGATGGGCCCACTATATATTCTATTTTATTTACTATGTGTTTCACAGTTTGGCAAATATACCATCATACCTTCTACAATTATCCCAGAATGCTTCAAGATTCAGCATGACCCAGTGTTTTGTATCTGTAGCAATAATTAGGCTCATATCTATCTATCTATCTATCTATCCAAAGTAATGTCTTAGAAATAAAGACAAATAAACTGTTTTGTATTCAATCACAATTGTATTTCAATATATTTCAACCTAATTTACAATGAACAAATAACAAAATTATGTTAACAATCTATGACCATGTGTCTGTTTGTTTCAGGAGTACCTGGATCAGCCCATGATGCGCGTGTTTTCAGCCATTCTAACCTGTCTCAGTCTTTTCAAAGTGATGTGGCTCAGCACTTTCCTGATGAAAAGTATCATTTGGTAGGGGATTCTGCATACATGTATGCCCTAAAGAAATGGCTGATGGTTCCCTACAAGGACTATGGTAATTTGAAGATGGCTCATTTAAAATATAACAGGAAACAGTCTCAAACAAGAATTGTAATTGAAATTGCTTTTGGGCATTTGAAAAACAGGTTTCGTAGGTTAAAGTATACTGATTCCGAAATTGAAAACATTCCCCGCATGTCTGCATGTGTCCTACACAACTTCTGCAAGTACTGATGATGTTCCAGACAGTGTAGAGTCTGATGACAGCTACGGTGTAGCAACTCCTCAACCCACTGGCAATACCAGCAGTACTGCTGGCTCACTGAAGTGTGATGCAATTGCCAATTCCTTATAATCATAACCACTCTCATCAGGTGTAACAGTCAACAAAGTGGTTAATTGGCTTTTCATATGCCATTTCAGCTGTAGTCCAAATCAGATTACAGATCTGTGGTTACTAACACATACATGGCTTAAAACAGCCTGATACAAATGGGAGTCATGATGACTCACCACATATTTCGGGGGGAACATTTTCTAAACTCGGGAGTATATTTAACAAAAATTACTCTCAACAGTGAATAACTTCCAAACTTTATCAAAACTATGAACTTATGAAACCTATGACACATTACTGATAACCATGGAAATAACAATTTAAACATACATGTAGTCTGTTCTTATATTATATTCAAACTATAGTGTATGATACAAAAGTATTTTGTACAAATGGTCAATAGTCAGTTTAACAACATGAATTGAATTGACAGGTTGGATTGAGCATGATACTTCATGCTTAAATGGCAGGTTGAGTACAGCATGACACAGCATGCTAAATTGACAGGTTGAGTACAGCATGACACAGCATGCTAAATTGACAGGTTAAGTACAGCATGACACAGCATGCTAAATTGACAGGTTGAGTACAGCATGACACAGCATGCTAAATTGAGAACAGCCTTAAATTAAGCTATTAACTGACCAGTTGATTTCCATAATTACATGCACAATGTAAACCATGTTCATTAAAGACCCAAAATTATATGACTGGCATGTTATTTTGAATATGTTTGTATCGGATATCCCTGTCGAAATATTGGGTTCATTGGTTAAAGTTACAATCAAAACATTTCTGAAAGATAATGAACAGGCATATTATTAGCAGCAAATGTCTGACATATTTAATACCAGCCTTACATGTCATTCACAACAGTCACGAATAGTTCAGCTGTGTAAAAAGTGAAAGCATTGTGAACAAAGAGTTCTGTGAAAACTTGCTATGTTTTCTGTAATAAACATGTGAATATTTTCTTTGTTGTTATAAGTAATTCACATATTGGGGTATCCTGAAGTAAACGACATGTGATGCAACCAGCATGATCAGGTAACCATGGTAACTAACATCCAGGTTATTTAACAGTGCAAATAATTGGAGGATGAGAGCACATTTAACATCCAAGAATGTTAACATATCATGTTTTATGTTTTATTTTTCAAGGCATCAATAAGTGCATACATGGCTTTCATGCGATCCTGATGCTGACCTACCAAAAGTGTTTTCAGCTCATCAAATCGAACCTGTTCTTTCTGTTCCCTTTCCATTTCTAGTTGGAGATCCTCCTCTCTATACTGATGAAGCAGCTCTGTAACAACTGTCAGCTTCCTCTTCTTTGCTTTAGCTTTTCCTGTTGATGGTGCTTCTTGGCAGTCAGCATCCTTGACCTGATTATCATTTGTGACAGCTTTTCTCAAAGGTGATGAGCTGTTTGATGTGATGTCAAAGTTCATCTGTTCAGATGTGTCACCAGGTACAGATGTGTCACTAAGTGCCACAGGACTTACAGTGTGTTTCTGTCCAATGATGGAATACAATTCATCGAAAAAATGTGGCTTCTTCTTCTTTCCTGCTCCTGTCTTGTTTTGATGGAAAATGTAGTCTTTAAACGATCCCTCCAAGTTTCTCCATTTTTGGGCACATCGTTCCAAGCCTTTTCAGCCCTGTCTGAAATCAAGAATCCTTTCTCCTCCATCTGTTGCGCTATTAATTCAAAAACATATTTTGACTTGGTTTTCTTATCTCCAATCAACTTTCTAATTTCAGAACTACCATATATGTCAATCAAAGTATAAGTAGCTTCTTTGTCCTTCTGTGTTACGAATCTAGGGTTCGACCAAACCGGTTGCACTTGTGCTTCACCCGCTTGATAATCTGTAACATAAAAGATAATAATTAGTAAATAAACCAACGCAATATATCTTCAAGGCCAAAGCTACTATAAATCATACTGATAACTGAAATTTGATGGTTTAAAACCCTATGGTACATATGGCTTTATCGATTAAACAATCTTCTTACTATGCACACAGATTTATGTTGACTTCCTGCTGTTCTAAAAGGAGACACTAAACTCCTTGGTCAATAAATGAGTTCTAGACATTATAATTTTCTAATGAAGGGACTTAATTCATTACAGGGGAAGTGGGACCGTTCAAATTGGTCTTAGGACTATCATATTTTACCCCCAATAAATGAGCAGCCCCTAAATATTGTAGAAATTTAAAATTTAAAAAAATAGAACTATCATTTTCTTATGCCCCCACTCCCACATTGTTGTGATAAATTCTTGCAATCTCCCCTGTTTCAATGTCATTTTTTCATGAACCTGCCCCTGAATCTCAATTTTATAATGTACAGGTATTTGCTTATTTTACCTGTGGGGGTTGTCTTTTAGAAATGTTAATTATTTTCGGATCAAGGCGTTAAATTACTTGGTGTCGTCGCTGGTGTGTGTAAAAAAACTATTACGTCACAGTTGCAATTTATGACGTCATCATAAGGATGACGTCATATTATGTCATTGTCAGTTACACTGAAGAGCTGTCATGAGACAGCGAAAGTACTATGTCTGAAACTGATATATATAGAATACTAAACGAGCTCCCGTGTAATACCAATTTTATGAAACGAGTGAATAGTTCTGGTATCTGACGAGCGAAAGCGAGTCAGATACCACAACTATTCACGAGTTTCATAAAATTGGTTTTACACGAGAGCGAGTTTAGTATTTTATTTATTACTTGTCATTTATAATGTTTTTAAAATTATACTGTTGAGTGTAAATAGGCTGACACCTACACGATCCATGGCATAATCCAATTGAGTTTAACAGAATAATACTTCAAACACGTCAAAAGTTGAAACGTATGAATTTAATATCATACAATGGTCCAGCTTTAGAATTCAGGCGTTCGTCACACAAAATTATCGTAGTGCTAAGGCTATCACAACTCGACATAATTTAACTTAGACTAACGACTGTCGTTGCGCTAGAGTACGATCGCCTTGTGGAACGGGGCCTTGCAGCTCAAAGTTTACAATGACGTCACAATACCCGATGACGTAATTTGTTGAATTTTGTTGCAAGATCCATCGGCGAAACAATGCCATGTGACGTCAGCCTAGCAACAAGGTTGCTGGGGTCATCGAGTGTGCATAAGCTCCTCCCAGTGATCTATCATCTCCACACACAATGTCGTTGAATACGCCAAGGGATGTTGAGAGCTTTCAATATTTGTTCGTGAAACGTGTTCCGAGAGTACATAAGCACGCGTTTTGGTATGACACAATGTGTAATAAAGCTGTATGTTTATTAAACGGGTGATCTCTTCACGGGCAAGTAATAAATATAGAATACTAATAAACATACAGCTTTATTACACATTGTGTCATACCAAAACGCGTGCTTATGTACTCTCGGAACACGTTTCACGAACAAATATTGAAAGCTCTCAACATCCCTTGGCGTATTCAACGACATTGTGTGTGGAGATGATAGATCACTGGGAGGAGCTTATGCACACTCGATGACCCCAGCAACCTTGTTGCTAGGCTGACGTCACATGGCATTGTTTCGCCGATGGATCTTGCAACAAAATTCAACAAATTACGTCATCGGGTATTGTGACGTCATTGTAAACTTTGAGCTGCAAGGCCCCGTTCCACAAGGCGATCGTACTCTAGCGCAACGACAGTCGTTAGTCTAAGTTAAATTATGTGAGTTGTGATAGCCTTAGCACTACGATAATTTTGTGGGACGAACGCCTGAATTCTAAAGCTGGACCATTGTATGATATGATTCATACGTTTCAACTTTTGACGTGTTTGAAGTATTATTCTGTTAAACTCAATTGGATTATGCCATGGATCGTGTAGGTGTCAGCCTCTTTACACTCAACAGTATAATTCTAAAAACATTATAAATGACAAGTAATAAATAAAATACTAAACTCGCTCTCGTGTAAAACCAATTTTATGATCGGGCGGTGATCCTTGGTCTTCCAGTATGTCGTCGGTCATCTGTAGTGTTGGTGGTCTGGTACTGGTACTGTTGCTTGAAATGCATTGCCTACTTGACGGGCAGTTTGTCCACTTTGCAATCGTCCAAGGGCTTGGTGTCGCTGATTTCTTGTCAATCTTGGCATGTGCTAGCAATCCAATAACGAATGAATGTTATCCAATCTGGGTGGATTTTTATAGGATCGTTTTGTTGATGAATTTTCATCATGGCGCTTGGACCACCTCTCGGTACCAAAGTGCAATAGTTTTGAGTGTTTTTTTACTGCATCCGTTGTGACCAGACATGCTACGCTTGGAACAATTATAGGAGACATGGTAAGCTGAGAAGCAGTTAAAGCACAATCTATTTTTGGTCACGAAATCTATTCACCTCTCTGAAGTTTGTACTTGTCACAGGTAAATATGGCATGGTCACCATTGCAGTATTTACAAGGAGGTAATGTTCTAACAGTTTGACTATTGTATGTCACTGGACTTGACACTTTGTCCCTTTTGTTCAGTCCCAGTTCCGAACACTGGGTCATTGGCTTCCGCTGCGACGGTATCGATGAACTCTGTCAGTTTAGACATCCAGTTATCTTCAATCTGTGTACTGTCTCCTTTCTCCATCGACCTTGTAGATGTGGTGGTTACTTCCCCACTATTTTTCTCATTCTGACCTGGTTGTCCATTTCACTAAGTCTACCCATGGCAAATAAAGTAACCACACAACTTTGCCTGAAACACCACCTCTCAACTCTGCACCTGATGGATTTAGCAAACGCTTCTGATTTTGCCACCTGTCACTTTTGACAAAATGGACCTCTTCCTGAGTTCTATGTTTTATTCTACCAGATGCTGATTTGATAACAGGATTTTCATGATCACTTGAATTGTATACTTCCTCTTCAGCTATAATGGCTGCAATATCTGTTTCAATCTGCAATGTCTCCTGCAACTGATCTCATTCCATTTGCTTAAATTATATTTCTTGATTTTTTGTTAAAGCCTCAGCTCTAACCATCAATGCTGCTTTCTTAGCCACAAGTCTAGCCTTACTACTGGTCGAGGATGCATGCGAAGTCTTTCACGCCCTGGTAACCTGACTCACTGAATCCCCTGGTTGCATTTCTTCTAGTAGCTTAGACTTATTATCACGCCAAAGCATATTATCTGAGCATAACTGTTCAAACCGGTCCTTCACTCTTAAAAAGTATGTTTCAAGTTCATCACATTCACTCTGGTGGAACTCTACTGTATCAGCCTCTGTCTACTTCTGCTATGTCTGACCGTGCCTTCTCCTTTTGCAGTCCACAGTTATGGAACTCTTTGCCTTTAAATCTGAGAAACTCTGCTTCTAAGGAAACGTTTAAGTCTCTCCTCAAAACCCACTTCTTCACTTCAGCTTTTCAATAGATCTCCTGATTGTTGGCATATGTACATAGACATTACATTTTAACTTTGTCACAGCGCCAGTGAGCAACTGTCGATGGATATTAGGCGCTTTACAAATCAATTATTATTATTATTATTATTATTATTATTATTATTATTATGATCACATTCACTCCTATTTTCTGAAACAAATGACTTAGACTCTTGAGTTTTGACTTTTAGTCTATCGAGAGATACCTATAATTTGTCAAGTTCTTCATTTTCAGCATAACTGTCTGTATGTCTGGTTAATATTAGCATATTTAATGCACTTTCAACCCTCCTGAATGCAGATAATATGCCTGCCCTCTCCCTTGTGAGCTGAATTAACTTTTCCTGCTTGAAAACATCCATATTTTCATCTGTCATATTGATTTATTCTTCATCAAATGTCAAAGAACACTTCTGCCACAAAGGAAATTTTCTTGAACTAATATTGTTGTAAGGTTGACAAAAGGGGGTTTATCTTCCACTCGTTTATTCTGTTGTCCTAGGTGTTACACTTGAACACATATCATCCTGTGCGTTGTGCTTTGAAACATTGAAACGGTTCAAGCTGAATACAAAATAAAGCAACCTTAAGATAGTTAACAAATGTTATATTTAGGATAACACTTTCTTAGTAAAGTACAGATTCTCGTACTTTTTTGGGTTGAGTCCCGTCCGGTATTCGAACCCACCTAATCGCCAGCACACAAAGTCAGTGATCTAACCCACTCAGCCACCGAAGCTTCCACAAAAATGAAAGTCCGACAACTGGTAGTCTTGATCAGGTACTTTGAGTACCCCTTTGACAAGTGTTAACTGGCACAGCTAGCCGAAAGCTTTGACTACATAATGTCATTTAGAAAGTGGTCAAATGTAACAAATGTTATATTTGGGATCACACTTTCTTAGTGGCTGTGGATGGCTGATAATTAACATTTCGTTTTTCCAGAAACCTTTTCCAATGTCTGCACATCACATACTGAGACACATTGAACATTTTAGCTACCTCTCGCTGTGTTCTACCAGTACGAAGTATGCCAATAGTCCTTAGGCTTTCATCACGCTTTGGACAATGCGTTCCCAATCCAAACACAACTACTGCATTAAAAAGGAATTATAGTCATTACCTGTTACCCTGGGTAATGAAAATCACTGACGACTCAAAACGATCTGAGGACCTTTAACTGAAGTAGCAGTTATTTTTCAGAGCGGATCTGTCTTCTGACGATTGATCATAACATTTATATGCCATGATCCCCTACCTGTTTTGCAGAGTATATTTAGTTCTTATTTGGCAGACACATCTGAAAAAGTGTTGACAGCTCAGCAACCAGAGACTTCACTTGTCCCATACTTGTATATACATGTAGCTGCACGTGTCTTGACCCTTGAAATTAATTTGAGTCATCGATATTCGAGTCCATATGTTTTACTCGCCAGAGCCCTTTTTGCAAACACTTTTTATCATAATAGTTAATCCAACTGTAATTATAACTCTGGTATAAGTTACTTTACTTACTGATAGAGTTTCAATTCCACCATTTTCATACACAAGCCTTAGAGATTTCTCGAACTTCTGATGCCGCTGATGGCACTGTCCGTTACCGAAGTTGTAACCAAAGGCGACCCAGGACTGATTGACAAAGTAGATTAACCTTTTTCTCAAAAGACAATAAAATGGCCATGAGAGGACCATAAGCGGTTGTCCTGAAATGACACGTGTGATCATGAACTCAAGTAATAAGGCCTGATTGAATCAGATATTATACATATTACTTGAACATTTCAGGTAATTATTAATTATACGTTTTAACAGTACATATATATTACATGTTAAAATAGAAGGAGACCCACTTTTTACATTAAATAGGAACACATTAGGAATTCAAATTCAGCTGACCTCACTGATAGCTATTTATATTTTCATGGTCTGACCTCTATTCGGGTACCAAGCCCAACACATAACACCAGCTGACTATCAGCTTATCTGCAAGATGTACTTGCTATAATGAATATATAGCCTCGGTATTAAACCAGTCCAGAAAATGAGTCAGAACAATCACACAAATTCACTGCTTAGTGTCTTACATGAACAGAAATAACTTCCAAATATTGTTGAGAAAATTGGTAAAAACTGAGTGTCTAAGGCTTGTGCATGACAATGGTGGAAACTCCATCAGTAAGTGAAGTAACCTATACCAGATTTGTATTTATGATTGGATTAGCATGGACTCGAATACCTGACAACGATATTCAAACTAATTTTAACGGTCAAGACACGTGTAGATACCTGTATATTCCAGTATGGGGAAAAAGTGTAGTCATTGGTTGCTGACACTTTTTTTCAAATGTCTGCAAAATAATCAGATTTAAATATACTCTGCAAAACAGGTTGGGGATTATGAAATATAAATGTTATGATCAGTCAAATCATTCTGTGTCATTAGTGTTATTGATTTTCATTATTCACAGTAACAGGTGAGGTCACTATTGTTGCTTTAATGCAGTGTTTGTGATTGGATTGGGAATGCGTCGCTCGCAACGTGATGAACGCCTAAGGGTTATTGGCATGCTTCATACAGGTAGAACACAGCGAAATGAAGCCAAAATGTTTAATGTGTCTGGGACTTTGGAAAAAATTTCTGTGGACACAAAATGTTACTGATCGCCCGCACAGGTCGCCCTTGGCCAGTACCGATTAATCAGAAACCAGGCTTCATGAAATCATGTCGACGCAGCCAATGAAATCGCTGATAATTTGCGCGGTATCTCCGGATTTCCAGATGCGTCCAGCTGAACGTCATGCGAACGCCATCATCAGGCAGCAAGACAGATTTGAAGGTGGGTCTGTAATGATTTTGAGCGGGATCACTATAACTGCCAGAACGCCACAGCATATTGCCCATGGAAGGGGTCACTGGACGGGACTACAGATACAACCTACTGGCGCCTCATAGGTAGCCATGCTGGCTCACATTTTGTCTTTCAAGACGGTAACACTCATACCCACAGTGCACGCATCGTCAATGACTACCTCCTGCAGCAAAAGGTCACCTGCACCATTAGCCGAATTAGACTAGGTGCTATATGATGAGTGACAAGACATCCTCAAATTGTCTTTTGGTGTTTGGCCAATGGTGAGGGCATGACACATTATTGATCAAGTCATCTCAACCTTCTAATGTTTTAATTCACACCCCTGTCGTCTTTCTTATATGTTTGCAGCCTTACAATACACGACATATATGTCCTATTGATTGCCATGCTATTACACCTAGTCCTTCCTTGTTCTTATCCATTCATTATCATCACTCGATACCGCTTTGTATTTCTATAACCCATTGGTTATTTTCGAATATCCGCTACCTTTTTGGGACAGTATAGTAACATCACCGAAGGCCAATTTGTCAAAAATGAAAGCACGTGTCATCTAAAGTTTCACGAGAGAACTATACGTTAAATGCTGGACGTCATTGATAACTTCTATGAGGAATTTGCGGATAGAACATTTAGGCATGAATAAGGCAAGGGCACCATTCTTTGTATTTCTGTTAGCATCTTTTGTTTGAACAGTATATACCCTATTGAAATAATATGCCTTCCAATATATCCCTTCATACACTATACACCTGAATGTATTCAAATTATTTGGATATGTGACTTCTGGGTCACGATACTCGCTTCTACTTTTTTCATCATGTGTTAGGGCTTATTGGATTATACGTCTGATAGATTTTTCCTCATACAATTTACTTTAAACTGTTGTTTTTTAAAAGGCTCTTCACAGAAAAGATTAGCTGGCATGTGTTTTCAGAAAAAATACAAAATACAAACCGGCAGAATTAATCTCTTTATTACAAGCTAAGCTAAGTAATTAGACTTTCTTGTTCCGAATAAGAAGTGGAGTGATAATAATGTTCAGCTAGAAAAATAGAAGTCAGGATCTTAAGTTTGGGTTTTAACGTCGCGTTCAAGAATTGCGACGTGCATGTGCGTGCGTGCGGACGCGCGCGCGTGTGTGTGTGTGTGTGTGTGTGTGTGTGTGTGTGTGTGTGTGTGCAAACCGATAAAGATTATTAGAGTATCTTTTAGGGACCTACTTGCAAATGTAAAAGAAATTGTCCAACTAACATAAAAACAGCAAAATTACTGATATCCAGTTCTGTAGATGACTGCGCTACTTTGATTAGATTCTTCGTTGTTTTATGCTGCATTGACCAATATTTCAAGTACATAATGTCGGTATATAAATATCTAGACATGACCTGGAAACTACTGACTGAAAGCAACCTCAGCAAACACAGCAGTGTAACCACCTGTTCCAGTTGGCCACCTCGTATGACAACCAATAGAGTGCTTGGGATGTATTCTAACCTAGGTCCCAACGTTTTTGTTTTAATCTGGAACTACGATGTTCGTCTACATATTTTAATACAGGAGTGTAGGTCCCCAAATCTAAGGCATTGTTATAAGGGCATGTAAGACTTTCTGTCAAGACTAATATCAGTTCATACGATAACAACTGAGGAATGCTGATTTGAGGTAATTAAGTGTTTACTTTTACTTAATTCGCGAATGCTCCATCAGATCTTCTTCCATTCTTTTTGTGGCTTATGTAACAGAAATATCAATTATTCACTACCAATAATACCTGCTCTATCCTATGAATACAATGTAGTTAACTTGCACTCACAAGGATGATCGGATATTATCCTGTAGTATTGTACTACGTTAATCCTGCTTAACATCAGACATACATGCATAATGTGCACTCTTGACTTATATTTACGTTTCTGCTTGGTTTCTGAATGGTTTGAATAAATGATCCACGGCTCAAACATCGCAAAGAAGACGCAAATAATTAATATTTCTAAGGAAACGTTTCATTGTCTTTCAGTGACATACTGATGTCCGGTACCTGACCACCCGATTCTGTTAGTCGCCTCTTACGACAAGCATAGACGCGTTTTACGGCAAGCATGGGTTGCTGAAGACCTATTCTACCCCGATCTTCACGAGTCTTTTGATTTTGGACATGCAACTAAATAAAAGCAAAAACCCTTTTCCATTATTATAAAGCTCAAAAACAGAGTCCGTTGTTTTATTCCAACAATGTCATAAGCATATGTTTTTAAATCACTGTCAATCAGTAATGGTTGACCTAACATTTCAAAACTCTGTTAAATGTCTTCAGTTTATCATGCGTTGTATCTACTTCTACTGAGTATTGGCAGCAATTCGTGTTACAAATTCATCAACTGGCAAGTATATGTCATGAGGTCAGCTGATGCTGGTGCTATGGTAACGGCTGGCTCGTGGAACCAAAGCATGGACTCTGATATTTGGTTATCACAATTTGTATGGTGATCATTGTCTTCTTACCTAGGCTGGAGGACACCAAAGGGTACATTTATTGAAAACTATTAGTCGTAACGAAATGTAATTGTACACGCGGTGTAGTGTTTTCTATACAAATATGTTTTTTGGACAGATTTAACTGCTGCATGGTACTCGAAATCGTCTTGGCTTCTAGGTTTTGGTTTCACTGTGTTTGCACCCTTGCTTATGACCCAATTTGCCTTTTTGAGGTACCAGGAGCGGTCGGGTAGCCTAGTGGTTAAAGTGTTCCATCACCCCAAAGGGCCGGGTTTGATATCCGACATGGGTACAAAGTGTGAATCCGATTTCTGGTGTTCCCCGCTTGATATTGCTGGAAAGCGGCGTAAATCTATACTCACTCACTCACTCACTCACTTTTGGGGTATCACTTAATGTCGAATGATTGCCTCGCTTTTGTGTACCTCATACAGCTGCTGAACAAAAGTTTGTGTAATTCACATTTGAAAGAAGTGACATGTTATCATTCTTCCAATATTTTCTGTTTAACACATTTTGAATGCGTATGCCTTTGTCAGTAGTATTGTATGTAGCTTTTCGACGGCACTTCGCCGGCACTTTACACAAAGCTACCATTCGAAGAGCAAGTTGCAAGAATGTCCCCCGTAGCGCGGATTACTCGACGACTATAACGTCGCCGCCCACGGGCGGTTTACAAAATCACACGACGCACAGCACGCACGAATGTGTGTGTTGCGGGGGAGCACAAAACAAAACCGTTCCATCATTTAGCTGAATAATAAAGCAGATCATTCGCTCTATCGACGGCAGTGTCATCAATTGTCATTTGCACAGAGTTGAATCGTTGTACCTTGGGTTCTTTACTCATCCAAGAGTCATAACGTTCCCCTACCCGAACGTTGAAGAACGCCTCTATACAGATGAGAAGTAGAAGGCAGATCTACCCTCTAGTTTCTTCTGGTTTACCGCCAAATCACCAGTATTCAAATAATAGTATATGAAGGAGTCAATCTCAACATCTCCTCTTGACACAACAGATTCCCCAGGGAGAGATCCAAACTATTTTTATAGCCGTGTCGTGGTTATTTTCGTGCCCGCAAGTTTCGAATTGGTATCTGTGAAACATGCGCTTGACTCCTAGCGCATCCATCCTGCAACACAACAGGACAACCAGTATTCTATATATATATTACATGTACACCGAGTGAACATTTACCTCATTTTTGTGTGTATATATATATAAACCTAACTACATACACGCGCGCAAGCGCACATACACAGATTAATACTACTTTTGCTGCAGCTACGTCAAAATGGAAGGATACACGTTTACAGATGAAGTTGAATACAGTGACGCTGTGATCGAACTGGAAAGATTGCTAACACAAGCACAGGCTATAGTGCTTGGTACTAAAGTGTATTAATTCAAACCAGAACAATCTTCAAATGAGAGTGTTTTAAAAACAAACAAATCATTCAAACAAGCGCATTTTTAGGTATGGAATCGAATAGACGCGGGATTAGCCAGGAGAAACGGCGGGATTATATTCGTGAAGGTCCTTGTTTGCAGAAAATCTCGTCACGCTTTCTATTGAAATATGAATGTTCGAATTACAGAGACACACACTTCAAAACATCGATTGGGAGAAAACATCTACGAGAACTGGTATACAAAATAGTGCTGTTGGAAAAGAGATTCTCTAATTCGGATTGAATATATTAAAAGAATATAAAATAATGAAGACAACGTATGTTGATAAATATCTCACGAAGAAATACTTTAACACCGAAAAGTCAGGCGTACTGAAGCCTTTTAGGGCCATGTGTGAGATACTAAGTTGAAATTTCAAGATACTAAGTTGAAATTAGTTGAAATTTCAAGATACTAAGTTGAAATTTCAAGATACTATACTTCTATTTCAAGAAGTTGAAATTTCAAGATACTATCGAAAAAGATTAAAAAAGAATCGTGTTATAACAAGCGGACCATTCGTGCAATTCGATGTTGATTTGTGTGATGTTTCCAATCCCGTGAAAGTCAATAACGATAATAAATTCATTCTCATTACTATTGACGTGTTTCCTAGATATGTTTGGGTTCAAACGATTAGAAACAAAAAGGCTAAAACAGTTGTGAAAGCGATGGAGAAAATACTTCATAAGTGTGAAAAGAAACCACTTACAATCAGAACGGATAAAGGCGGTGAATTCGTTAATACATCCATGAAGAAACTATGTAATGAAGAGAATGTGAACCATTTCATCGCGCAAAATTTAGAAATCAAAGCGAACTACGCTGAAAGATTCATTAGAACTTTAAAATTTAAATATATTTCCTATAAAATAAATCAACGCTTCGTAGATATACTTCAAGAATTAAAAAAAATACAATCACACCTCTCATCGATCGCTATTTGGATTATCACCTAGCGAAGTCGATGAAACTAATCAAGCAAAATTATGGATGAAGATATATAATAACAGTTCAAATAATAATAAGAAAAAAATGAAAAAGAAAACAAAGCAAACTACACTAGGTATTCCCCTTTTCAATTTAAACTCTGTCAACTTGTGAGAGTATCGCTTAATAAGAGAACTTTTGAAAAAGAATACCAAGAAAAGTGGTCCGAGGAATTATTCAAAATAAACGATCGAGAAAAAAGAGACGGCGTGTCTGTTTATAAGCTAATCGATCTGCCAGTGCAAGGAAGATATTCAAAAAGTGCAAAGGAGTAACTACGACGATGTGTGGCACATAGATAAAATTTTGAAATCAAGATCTATTAAAACAAACGAAAACAAATGCGTGAAACAGCTATACGTCAGTTGGAAAGGATACACAAAGAAATTCAATTCGTGGATTAATGAATCAGATCTGGTGAACGATGGTGTTTGATCAATGGTTTGTGTTAAACAGTGACAGCAATATGGATTACTTTAGTGATAACAAACCGTATTCATTCACGATTCTTTTGAATCAACCATAACATTTAGATGGCTATTGGACCATAGCTTTACGCGAAATATTCGCAAAATGCAAAGGTAAAAAGAAGTCAACTTCAATGAAAACAAAATCGACAGATGATTTAGTATATGTTTACTGTTCATTGTGCGATCCAATTTTAGTAAATGATGTAAAGAAACCACTGCTTCGCGTAGCGATATTTTGACTGTTGTAATTAACCAACCGTATTCTTTGAATACAAGTATTGTTAATAACTACTTATCTCTATATATAACGAATGCTGAAGGTGATTTAGCCACATTTCTAACGAATCCAGTATCGGTAACGTTACAACTGAAGCGACATCTATTCATTGTTTAAGTAACACAATATGAGAGAACATAAGGAATCTATTTTATACGTTCCCAATCCAGATAATTGGGTTAAGTACTACAACGTTCTAGCATCCGGTAAGATTAATCCATATAACAATCTTTCGAAAAAAAACCGTGTAGCTTTACTTAACACTTACTTAATGTCTCTTTGGATAACATTTACCAAGAAAACAGAGCTAGTAGCATCACAGTTGCTTTCGTTTTATCGAAAGCTGCGTCTGGAGACTTAACTAAAGATCAATTTAATTTCCAAAACTTTCAACTCGGTCAAATCAGTCTTCTTTGCGATAGCATGACTTACGGTGATGCAGGACCCATGAAGATAACCTTGATAAAACGAAAGGACAAAACATGATACCTATGTACTAGAATTTGATGCGTTCTATCCGTTTGTAGCTTGGCGGTTAAAATAGTATCAACATTACACGAAGTGAACTAGATGAAGGTTATGCTATCTATGTGTTTCCATTAGAGCCCGTATTTGGTCCCACATCCAATGGTAATTCTTACCTGAATCTACAAAACCAAGGCTGTTTAAGATTAGAGTTGCAGTTAGCAACGGCTTTAGTTGATAGTTACTTGTATTGATTACGTGGAGTTCCAAGAATCTTTTTCAAATTGATAAGACCCGCAATATAATTCTTTGATAATGAACAGAAATCAATTGTAATGTGTTATTTCTTGTGATAGCGAGTTGAGATTACATTTGTTAGGAGTTATAGCTATCAACGAAATAGGAAAACTTGAAAACTTGAAAACTTGAAATAGATAATAAATTGCAATACCCAAAGGTGTTTATATCAGACGTATTGTTGATGCAAAAGTTAGACCGAACACAACAAAAAGACTACTGCTGCGTATAAGAGGTATAATACCAGTTGTATTGAAAGCGATATATCCACTTCTCATTGACTAGGAATCATCAAACGATGATAGTAATTGCAAGGATGAGGGTGTAGAGGATAACGACAATGGTGCAAGACTTAGTATTGATTCCGAAGGATAACTACATACAACTACTTAATGAAGCTCAAACGAATAGAGAACACCAAGAACAAGAACAAGAAGAACAACAACAGAGCGATGGACGTAGCAAAACAGTGGACAATATTTCCACTCATTTAGATGAGTCTGCGAATAATCAAAAGAGAAACTGTCACATTGTTAAGACTCGACATATCAAAGATACTCAAATCAAAATCCCTAAGAAAATGAAGAAATTGAAATGGTGTCCTTATTAATCACGCTTGTTTAATATCTTTATAGTGATTATACAAATATAATATTATTGTACATGAGGATATTATATTTATAACACCAATATTTGTATTAATTTAAATTTTACTCAAAACCAACATTACATACATTGTACGGTGATATATGAAAAATA